AGTTGGTTGAACAGGTCGCTGTCATTACTCATTTGGTTTGGGCAAGGGGAAAACTACACACTAGCGCAAGCAATGCTGCGGAGTATGGAAACTGTCACTATCGGCGTGAAAGCAGCCACAAGTACATGTAGGTGCTACACTGAAAGAGATACTAAGAACTTGGGGGCACTAAAGCTTTGGCTTTTCATGGAGGTTTACACGACAAATGGACAGGTAGTTAGTACTTGGTTCATTAAAATGACAGATGGTACGAGGGGCGTCAAAAACATTGGCTTTAGGCGCAGGTCATGTGGCGGATGGACGTAAGTTGGATTTTGACACTAGCTCAGGGATATTGTTCTACTAGCTGTCTGATGATCGTTTAGTGCGTGAAACTTGAAGTTGAAGCGCAGACAGCCTACTGCCACGTGCCTTCGTGAGTTTGGTACATATCGCCCTGCACTCTAGTGTATCAAGCACTGTACTTTAGCTGCCTCGTCTCGCCCTGTACAGTACCATGAAAGCTATCACAGTGACAGCACACTGGTTTGTACACTGGTTTGTGAGACGCAAACTGCTTTGGCCAGAAGGCAGGTTTCGAATATGTTGGGCACCACACACATACACACGCACACACACACACACGTGCGTGTGTGCGTGCAAAAAGTTAAAAACAGACGCGCGCACGCACGAGCACATGCACGATCCTTGTTTTCAAGTGAAACAGCCCGGCACGTGACACGATACCAAGCCCCAAGTTGGCCCCCAACACACCCCTTGAACAGAAGAACGCTACACACAGTACGGGCATGTACTAAACCTCAAGTCAATGCCAAGAGGAGTATTTGCTGGCATTTAGAGTCAAAGATCTCTGTGAAATGTACCTGCTTCCTCGGCCATTTGTGGGTAGTCGAAGTCTTCACGGCGACCAGGCTTTTCAAACTGTAAACGAGAGCATCAGAAATGAACGAAAGCCCGACATATGACACTAACTTGCTGATAGTGTCCTAACAGTTATTTCGAGTGATGAGATTTGACCATGCATAAATTGTAAAATTGTTATCGCATGCGCCAATGTGCGAGGAACAATGGCTTACCTTGGTCATGCCTACGCCTACAACAAACACCTTTCGCTTAGAGGAAGCCATTCTGTGCTGTCAAGTTTGGCTGATGTAGTAGCGAATGTTTAGATCGTACAAATTCAGAATGCTATGCTGCTTTAACGACAGGGATTGGAAAGTCCGGGGACAGCACGATGAAGCTCAAAATCGAATGGTATTTCTACAGGTCAGTACTAGTGATAGGTTTGCATTGAAATAGCCCTAAAGAGATGGTTGGAAGAGGATGGCGTCCTCGAACTCAGAAACAGAGCAGAATCCAGAGTAGACAGGACAGCAGTGCAGGGTCAAGCAGGGGAGAAAGGTTGAACAGGTCACACTCACAGGCTCACGGCACACAGGATCCATGGGATGGGATATTCGAGAAGAACGCATTATCACAGTTACGTCATCAGGCATCACATGTCCCGGGAGTCGACGTCATCGCAAAAATAATGTTCATGTTGGCCTTTTCTTTTCGTTACGAAAGACCAGCGCTAAAACGAGCAACAGTGGCTATTGACAATGATTGATGGACATCAATCATCATGTCAGTTCGACAGCATGCTAGCAGACTATTCAGTAACAATAACCTATACTCAGGCTATAGACTATATTCTTGGTTTGTTGTCCACTGTGAGATCCGTTGAGACCAGGGAGTAGTAAAGTACCCTGGGTTGAAACAGCTCTGTGAGGCCGAGATATCGACAAAGCAGGTGGTAGTAGTTGAAACCAGGGAATACTCCCTGGTTGAAACGACACTCGGAAGACGCTTTTTCCAAGGAGGTTGGTGAGTCATTTGAATAGACGTATCGGCACCTAGAGGAGATCGTCATGGTGAAGGAGGACACCAGCAAACTGAAAGTCAAGAACAAGATTCTGATGGACCCTCACTTGATGTCCTGGTCGCATGGCAGCCTGTTTTGGCGTATACTGCGACTCAGGCTGTTATGGGTGTCGGGAGGGGTGCTGCTTGGTGCTGCACTACTCAACACCAAGCCCCAGTTGGAGGCCATGTGGGATGACAGGGAGCTAAGGGCGGCACAGTTGATGGAGGAGGTGAGCGGCTTACTGACATGAACTTTTTTTTTAATTTTTTTTATTTTTTATCTAGTCTTATTTTACTAGGGAATTCCCAACAGGCATCATCGCCTTCTTGACTTACTACCCATGCACTGACTCAGTATACAGTGATGTTGCCATAGTCACTGTTCAGCCGGGCGTTGACTGTGTCGGATTTGCGCCGCTGACAAGTCTCGTATTTATCACTGTAATGTAGCGATTCTTATTGCCACTCAGGCAGTTTGAAATTGAGATGCAGGCCCGGCGGAAGCAATTGTTGATTGGTCCGGCCATGCCCACATCCGGATGAAACTTGAATTGGAGAAGAAAATTGGGTACAAACGTCAGCCGGAATGCCCGGAACAGAACAGTAGTGGGATGGCGACCGTTGGAAATACCGGCACGCAGAACTTGACATGGCAGAAGATAGAAGAGTTTGCGTAGAATACATGGTGAAGAAAACATTAGGGTAGAATTTGACGCACCATGTGCACTAACACACAGGGTTTGATCAGTCAAACAAGCAGTGTGTTCCATAAAACTTAACACAGAGCTCTCAAGCGCGGCCAGAAAATTTGCCAAACACAGACATGCGATGCTCATTGGAGCCAACAAAAGCATCTGCAACAGCTACCAGAGACAGCGCATCCGTGTGCTCTTTATGCACATGCACCAACAGGAGGTGATTGAGGCGGCTCTGCTTCATTGTGGTTCGGAGGTACATCTGTAATCGCCTGAGTGCACTGAACGACCGCTCGCTGATGGCATTGGTGGACGGCATTGTCAACACCAACTCCAGGACAAGCACCACCTGGGAGATCAACTGCCGCTCTGCAACAAATAGGCCCTGCAGGTACCTCTGGATGTCGCGGATGGTGATGTTCTGTGTGTCTTGAGAGTAGGCAGAATGGAGGATCTCAAGATGAAGTCTCAGCTGCACTGCATCGACGTCATCCTTGTAGAAGCCAGTGACCGCTGCAAATGCTGTCTCCCAGGGCTTGCCACGGACACACAAAAGCAGCAAGTCTTCAAGATTCTGGTAGATCCTGAATCCAGGCTGATCAAATCTCCTCTTTATAGCAGTGACGACAAGGTCCAATGCCTCATAGTACTGCTGGCGATACATGGCCTTTGCGGTGGCAGGGAACTCCGCCTCTGCAGTACCGGGTTCAAACCGCCGGGGGCCTTCCTCCTTCGGGGGAGCTCAGGCTCATCCACATCTGCTTGGTGGAGCAGTACCGTCAACCAGAAGGAGTCAAAGTTCTCGTCAGTTCTCAGTGACTCGAGCGTGGCGGTGGTCATAGCTGCAGCACGGGCTCCCTCTGACGCAGAGATAGTTGAAGATTGCAGAGTCCTGCTGAGGTTGTCCGTGTGGCGGAGGATCAGCTGACCAAGATGAATGCCAAAGAAGTAGCGAAACATACGGAACTGGGATTCAACTCCAATTATCCTTGTTCGCATGGTTTGGATCAGCTGTATCACCCTGCGTAACATCCCACAGCTCCTGAAGGACGTCATAATTGTCCATGACCGATTTCAGGGAGTCAGCACCCACAGTCCAGCGGGTTGGACAAAGAACTCGAAATCCGGGCGAGTCAGGAGCCAGTTCACTCTTGATCTTGTCGAATATGGTGCCACGCTTCGGTGAAAACTTCACCAGTTTGGAAACTTCAAATGTCGTGTCCAGGGCGTCTTAAAATGTCGTGTCCAGGACGTCCTTCAAAACTTTGCAGCTTTTGACGGCATCACCAGCAGCTAAGTTGAGAGCATGCCCATGACAGGGCAAGAACAGTGCACGAGGCTCTAGTTCACTGAGCTGCTTAGCAACTCCACTCCTTCCTCCGGACATGTTGCTCGCGCCATCGTAGCATTGGCCACGACACTTGGATATGGACAGATTGAGACGAATCAACAGATTCTTCAACACCTGCACAATCGTGGATGCATATATATTATCAATCTTGTACATCCCGACGACATCTTCAATGGGCTCCAGCGTATTACTGTCTACCCAGCGAATGCAGATCACCAACTGCTCCTTGTTTGAAGCGTCGGTGCACTCATCAGGACTGGCGGAAGCAGTTTTCTATTGGTCCAACCATACCATAGTCGTTCATACATTGTGTATGATTTTTTTCTTTCTTCTTTTAATAGAGCCACGTAAACCCGTCATGTGTGAGCAGGCGCGTACGCAGGGGGGGGGGGGGGGGGTTCCCGTTGCCCGGAAACCCCCCAAATGTTCCAAACGAGCAATGTTTTTGGGCATATTTTGGTAGGGTGCATGATCGATCTGGCAAGAATGCAAAACTTCAAAAGATCGTAACTCAGTCAAATCTCGCTCAAATCCAACGATCCAAATATCCAGGTCGAATAGAAAACTATCAGCTGTCGGTTGAAACAATTTGCGAAGCGCTGCGAGCAATGTATCGTGAGATAAATCATTCGGAAGTTGAGCCGCGATCTCAGCAATTTCAAAAGCGCGCAGTGCGACTTGAGTATTGAGAATTTGAGATTTTCGTCGCGCTGATTTGCTCAAAATTGCAGGGGCTTCACCTGTGATATTTTCAAGAGTATACAGCAAAAAATCGAAACTCTGGGATAAAGAAAAACGAAATCGCTGGAGCAGGATGCGTTTGGGCCTGTTTGGGGCATTTCTCGCACCGTCGCTGCACTCTACTGCACTATAGCGCTGGATATGTACATGACTGTACTGTGTACTGGCTATCATGGTCGACCTCATTCTCTCCCTGGTACCTTTCCACTTCCAGGAAGCCCAAGATAATGAAGATCGAGTGAGTAGAACTGAAGTTATGATCCAAACAAAACGAAAAATGCATAATTTTGAAAATTTCCTAGGGCTCTTTAGAAAGAGTTAAAATTTAAAAACTCATTGTTTGGGATTCGGTTGGAAACCCCCCTAGAGGTGACCCTGCGTACGCGCCTGGTGAGCCATGAATAAGGGGAGTGGTGGCATGGTCTGGGATGCTCTGCCGACCTTGGGTCTCGGCTTCATCACAACCATATGGCGGGTACACCTAGTCACATACCCTCCTCAGGAAGAAACACGTGTTGGTGGCCAAATACTATAGTTGGTCCGGCCATGGCCTGACCAACAGGACCAGTTCCGCCGGGCCTGCTCATCAGCCATGACAGTGAAGAAGTGTGCGTTTCGAATACGACTGCTGATCTCCCGCAGCACAGAAAGTGCCATCACTTGCAGCAACTCGTTCTGCATGTCATGTCGGAGAAACGTACTTATCAGTTTTCGTCTCAAGCCATGTTTGACACGAGGATCATCTTGCCCACGGAGCTTCAGCAGCTGCATAAAATTTGAATCTTCCTCTGATCCATCTCCACGTAATGCCAAACCTTGCCTCGCCAGGAACTGAAGGTTTGAGACAATTTTCAAGAAGCACTTCCTATTCTCCTCCTTCTGCTTTGCGTGCGCACCTGAAAGCATCTCGCCAACATCAGGAGTTGTTGCTGGTAGCACTAGCAGCATTTCCACAGCATCGCGATGGTGACTAGAAGTCTCATGGTTCTTGAAACCCACAGTAGCGTCCTTCCAGTTGCAGAATCCGCTTGAGACAAAAGCCGTGTCCCCACGCTTCGGTAAAAGTTTCTTTGCCAGCACAGCACTTGCGCACGTGTGACATAACACAACGTCTCTTTGCTCATCGTAGGTCAACCAAGACCATGTCTTGAAATATGACGCCTGACAAGAGCGCTTCACCACTGTCTTTTTCCCAAATTCCCGCCGAGGAAACGCGAAGGAAGTGGTTGGGTGGACTGGCACGTCTGGCACAGATACTTCGCTGGAAGAAGCCATAGCTGCTAAGCATGCACTGCAGCTAAGCTGACCAAACAGCGAGACAAAATTGAAAAAAACTACTTCGTTCAGCAAAAGAATCTGAAGCACTCGACGAAAACCCTCAAGTACTACAAATTACAATGTAGAATCCATCATGGCACGTGCTTTCAGGTCGCGCGACTCGCGCCACCGGCCCACAGGCCACAGCTAGCCCTCAAGCGCGCACGCGTGCACGGCAAGATCAGAGCGAGATCGCAAGTACGCGTACATGTACAATCGATGATCACAACATGACGTTACTGCGTCCTAAAAAAATCGTCGGTGGCCGAAAAGTTGGTCCGGCCATGGCCGGACCGACCGGAGCGGTTCCGCCGGCCCTGAGATGGTAGTTTGTTTCTTAACCGAATGGTTTTCTTTCAGAGAGAATCTTCCAGTGTGCTTGCACAATGTGTGTCTGCAAGGAAAACATAACCAAAGCACAATCGACTTGGATGGAGAGATTATAGCGTAGCTTGTAGTTCATTGTCCCTCTTTTCTTCCTACAAAGCACATTACGCCGTGGTTTAATTGTGCCTGTCATTGCTATGTTTTTGACGTGCAGATCCATGAACGTGAGGGTGCCTACAACAGGGAGCGCTACGCCAAGCGCAAGGAGAAGCTGTGAACGGGGTTCCACGGCTACTGACAAGGTTAATTAACCTGCACCGCTTGGGTCAGCAGCAGCTATATGACATTGTGGTGATGTGGCGTCCAGCAACATTGCATATGCGAAGTGGAGAAGGCATGGCATCTTCTACTGCCCAGCCCACATCGTCACTGGATGGTCATCATCACTCGTTACTTGAAAGCGGTGGCCGTTGAAAATCCGTCCCACATGCTGATACTCGTGATTGAATACTTGATCTGGGCTGATTACCTGATAATCAGCTATATTGTAAGGTCACACATGCCCTCTCAACTCCTGTCCGGCATATTTGGCGTAGCAGCTGCATAATACTGATACGGGAAACCAGATCTTCAATAATCACATAGTGTTTCACTGCAACAATGCGCCGGGTCTTTTGAGACCCCGAAGAGCAGAATCGGTGAAGGTCAAAAATGAGGGGCTGTGCGGAAGTCTGACATTGCTATCGCTGTGACTGTCATGCTCTAATGCTGTGGACATGGCAGAGTGGCTTGTACAATCATGTAGCCTGTTTAGACTTGTGATTTTGAATAGCCAGTCTATCACAACCATCCGAGTGTCCATGACTCAAAGTTCAGTGAAAGCGCTCTTGTGCTGATCGAATGAAGCATCCGGCTCGATTGTCTCCACGCCGTCCAAAGCATGTGCACAAACATCGTGTGCTTCTGCTACTATTGTTACAATGTAGTGGCAATGAACTGTGACATCTTTCTCGCATAGTTCTTATTTTATCTTTTACCGTAGGAAAGCATGGACGGTTATGAAATGTCTTTTGGAAGAGAACCTCAGGATGTCGTGTGATATAATTCGAAGTAGTCACATAGATTATAGTTTTCCTTTCATACATTGTCGCAATCAAATAAATTTATGTTATTTCCCTAGTATACTACATGAAGTAGAAACCATAAAACACCCGAGATCACGGCGGACAGTACAACCTTTCACTTGCCATTCCGTACTGTTGGAGGGCTGGAGACTTTTCAGTATGGAGTTCTGGTGTCTATAATTTTGCCATATTTGAAATTTTTGAAGGTTGATTGGTCTCACATATGGTCGCATGCGCTCGAGTTACTTACCAGTTTGGAATTTGGAAATTGTACATTTGCATCCTGTAAAGATGGTGTCATGGTGGTGTCCGTGTGTCGCGGGATTGGGTTCACTGTATAAGCCTGTGCGTTATATGTGAGGGTGCGCTTATGCCCGGATATAGGCACATGCGCTTTAATGCGCATCACTACGGTAGGCTACACTCCCTACAGCGTGCAGACTGTTAGCCAATCTGTTACGGAAATCCTGGGGCTACATGCGGACATGCACAAGGCCATGAATGCATGATAGTGTCCTAGCTAGCAGCCAGGCACAGGGAGTTTGTTGTGCTTGGCAGTTGATCAGTGCCACAAAAATGCCAAGTAGTAGAAGTACAATGGTCATGTACTGTAGTAGTTGTCGTACCCCATGGACATGGTACACCCTGGCCTGGTAGATCTAGACGGTAAATCTACCAGCCTGTGGCTGTATGGCATACATTCGGGAAAAAAGTCTATGCCAGTATTACATTTTTATTTTGAAGTTTTGGGCATAGGAGGAGGAGGCCTAGGCCTAGCGCCTAGCGCCTGTCAAAAAGCGACTCCAGTATTCGTCACGTGAAAGTCATTGGACATCTGCAGAGCTACCAGATGAATGCGCGTGACTGACCGATCGGGGATCGGACAACATCACGCCCCACTGGCACTGCACTGCACGGCGAATCAGATTCAGAGTGTCAAACTCATGAACTCAGCTGAATAGGTGCCGAGAACGGGCTTTGAACCGTTCCTGGCACAGATTATTTCTATTGCTGTTGGAATTATTTTCTCTCTGGAGTCTTCCAACGACTGTGAGGATGTATCGTACTCTCTGCCTTCTTGCCCTAGCGGCGTGCGCCTTCGCGCAGCAGCCTTCACGGCCCGTGATTCCAGAGGAATTCACTGCTACTGTAAGTCTGGGTTGGCTCCGTCGACAACTTGAGAAGTTGAGTCGGTTTTTGACTCGCTCGGTGAGCATGGAGAGTTAGCGTCTGATGTATTTTGTTTCTTTCTCCCTCTCTCTCCTTCCAATCGCTTTAGATCACGTTCCAGTCGCATGAACTGAACGAGACGTACGATGGAGAAGGTAAAATTGATAGCTGATGAGTTTACCATTCTCCGGGCGAGGGAAATAGACACCGTTATACGGATTGGATAGCTTTCCTCGGTTTACTATTACTGAGTATCAGTATTACGACTGTGCTAGCGTGCTACTGTACATTTATTTTCAGATTCCGTTTGTTATTGGTCGCACCCTGAAGTAGAGGTAGACTGCGGCGTTGGTCTGCAACACGTAGCATGATCTACAACGGGTGTTTCGGATTTGGGTTCCCGCTAGGCAATCTCCTCCATCTATTAAATCTTGAATTAAAATGCCGCGCGAGTACACCATGGTACACGCAGCAAGGCCTACAAGGACAGTTAAGTTAATGCAAGGTTTCCCCGTAGATTCTACGTGCATTCTGACTTTCAGTCTTCGTGGTTCGGTGAGGACACCCACTACAGCTTTGACTTGGTGGTTAGAACTCGATGTATTCGTAGATGTCAGAGGGTTCACGTGCGCCTAGTCCTATTGATCCCCCCCCCCCCTCCCCGACTCATGTGAAAGCGTTGAAATATCGAGAGAATATTTCATATTTTTAAAATACATCATGGTAAGAGCAAGGACTCCCCCTGCCAAGGACTCCCCCTGCCAAGGACTCCCCCTGTCAAGGACTCCCCCTGCCAAGGACTCCCCCTGCCAAGGACTCCCCCTGCCAAGGACTCCCCCTGCCAAGGACTCCCCCTGCCAAGGACTCCCCCTGCCGAGGACTCCCCCTGCCGAGGACTCCCCCTGCCGAGGACTCCCCCTGCCGAGGACTCCCCCTGCCGAGGACTCCCCCTGCCGAGGACTCCCCCTGCCAAGGACTCCCCCTGCCAAGGACTCCCCCTGCCAAGGACTCCCCTTGCCAAGGACTCCCCCTGCCAAGGACTCCCCCTGCCAAGGACTCCCCCTGCCAAGGACTCATTTCTTTGAAAGAAGCCCGAGGTGCTCGGGCTTTTCGCACGCGGGCCCAGGGATTGTTACGAACAAGGGGCTCCTTCAAGTTGACTTTTAGGGAGGGCTGATATATCACCTCGTAGGCACTTATCATTGTATTGTAGGATACATGTAGTGCCATACCAGTCCTGTGCTTCTGCCATCGCCAGCAGGTACCAGACCCCGATGATTTTCTTTGCCTGCTGGGTAATGTACACTGCAGGTATGCGGTAGAAAACTAGATTTGTCGACAATCATGTCCACGATTAACCACTCAACACGGGCTTCTTATATTCTGCGCATTGCTAGGAAATGAGGTAGGCTCCCAATGAAAGGTGGACATTTTTCAAGTATAATACAAGACGAAACAAGAACTGTCCTTCCACGGTGCGTTGAGCTGTGACAAAGAAACACATGGCTGTCAGTACTGAGTACAGTCGTACATGCAGCTAAACACCTCCTTGCTACTTTTGCACGGCGGCTTACCAATGCGATGCACTCTTGCCCCTCTGTATTAGGTCGCTGGGCCCATGACCAGGCCGGTAACCGCGCCGTCCAGGAATTTGAAGTTCGCAACACCGCCCACAAGGACAGGCCCTTGCACGAGGTGCGCCTCTTCCGCTTCGACTTGGTAAGTGACAGCCAGCCACAGCGTTGCGTAGAGAGTGTATTTGTCTTGTCTTGGGGTGATGTGCTGGTATTTTACACTGAGGGTCACTGGCCTGAGATTTGTTATGGCTGTGATCATGTAATAGATGTACATGTATGATGCACTAACTGAATCACTCCAGTCTGTTGTCTCAGCAGTATGCCTATGTAGTACAACTGCTAAGAGCCATGGTGAGCGAAAGGAGGGTAATGTAGAGTCATGTGGAATAGACTTATTAATATGGTTACCATAGTATACATGCATGCATGGCTGGGGGGGGGGGGGGGTGTTCTTACAGGGTAGGTACTAGCTAGGTAGTGATGTACCCACCCAGGCCTGATATGATTTCGAACATACCGTAACAAAATAGGACCTTTTCATAAATGACAGGTATCTCAATGATCCTCTTATCCTTCCTGTCTGTTTTGTGTGATGTGCAGAAAATGGAATACGAAGTTGAAGGGTAAGGCACTTCATAAGCAATGTAATGTGACTATGCTTTCTTCTGGTAGATCAACTCGGTCAGCCATCAAGCTACAGTAAATCCTTGCTTGTTTGAATTATTAGAGAGTAATAGATGCTACACTTGAGCATACATGCAAATGCATGCAGCACGCATACATCACATTCATGACAACACAGACCGAAAAACCCCATTTATGGACCACATGATACGCACGACAGTAGGCCGAGAATTCTAATCAAGCATAACTTTCTGGTAGCTTCATCCGATAAGATCGCAGTCGGAAAACCCCTGTCTGTAGTTCACTGAAGTTGTGCTTCGCTCCCTGTGTACAAGGTGCCTATAAGGGTCACACTGATTGTGCCATACACACACACACACACACACACACACACACACACACACACACACCACACACACTGTGTATATTCTGTACATGTGTGCTTCTAGTCCAGCCAACAGCTCTAAGTGTGCAAAGCGTCCACTCAACGGTACTCTGGAAAGTGCTTTCGGCTGGGTGGCCAAGGCCGACTACGCTGGAAAGCATGAGATCCGTCACCACGAGTTTGACTTCTGGTCGTATCATGTGAGTTGTGACGTGCCAGACGAACTGTGATTTTCTGACAGCAGTAGCTTGTTGTGTATGTGTCTCCTTGACTCCCCCTCATTCTACTTCTCTGTCCATCTCTCTCTCTCTCTCTCTCTCCCCCTCATTCTAACTCTCTGTCCATCTCTCCGAGGCTCTGTCCATCTCTCTCTCTCTCTCTCTCTCTCTCTCTCTCTCTCTCTCTCTCTCTCTCTCTCTCTCTCTCTCTCTCTCGCTCTCTCTCTCTCTCTCTCTCTCTCTCTCTCTCTCTCGCTCTCGCTCTCTCGCTCTCTCTCTCGCTCTCTCTCTCATGTCTGGGTTGCCTAGCCCAATCCCTAACTTGCCTATTGATCGTGGGAGTAGGAAAATCAGAGTTGGTCGGAGGACTGGTTGAATGGTCGAGTTCAGTTTGCTAGACCGAACACAAAACATATCCAGTAGCAAGAAAGTGAACAAGGAGCAGGCAAACCGACCGACCCGCTGACTGACTGACTGACTGACTGACTTGTAATGACTTTCGTAACCTGCTGATGAGGCTCGATAGAATCATGCTACGATGACCCGACTTGTAAATTTGAGATCCATTTTTTTCTGCTCGTCTTGACCCTGCCTCCCCTCATTGCTACTTCCATTTTCGTATTTTTATTTTCATTTATTTTTCTCTTCATTTCTGACTCTTCTTACTGGTTGTCATCACTTCCATAATATTGGGCAGAACTGCCCATTTGCCTTGCGATGTAAAAATAAATAAACAACAGCAACAACAACAACAACAACAACAACAACAACAACTGACTGACCGACTGACTGACTGATTATTACAACATCCAAAGTGACATGCATCCTGCTGAAACCTCTTGTTTATGTGATACCCTTTCGATTTGGCTTTCAGGATGGTGGTATCACTGTCGAGATGGGAGTGGACCCGGAAATGCCCAACCAGCCTGCCTTCCTGGCCCGCCGTGGCACCCACGAGGATTCTTTCTACGATTTCCATGAGTTCAAGGCCGGCACACCCGAAGCAGAGGCCTTCTCCATCCCGAAGGAATGCCAGTAGATCTTGTGCCTAGTATCATAATATTATATTTTATCTTGGCTGTTTTTGTGTGTGATTGTCAAGCAACGCATTCAGTATGAAACGTGTGTCACGAGCAGAGCAGAGCATCCAGCCGGCTTGTATCTGCTCTGTTGCGTGAGTCACAACGTTTAGTATCTGTAGCCGCTTTGCTTTCTGTCTCGTTGTCAGTGTTGCAATAGTGATATCATTTGTGTCAAAGGTCTATTCCCATTGTTCTGTGTGTGTGGGGGGGGGGGGGCTTGCACAAACTGTCAGCGTTCATTTAAATCGGCTGCGGGTCTCAAGCGTCACCGTTGTGGAACCTGTCCAAAGCGCCCTACTGTGGCTGAACGCCAACGATTCAAGTTTCACTGCCAATTTGCCACAACCGATGGTTCCGGAGGCGGCAAGATCTGGATCACCACTTGGAGCATTGCCTTCCTCCCTCCTAACCTCTCTGACAGTACCTCCCATCTGGGAGCGGCGTGGCCAATCCTGGCAGCTGTCAATAGTAGTAGTAGTGTGTGTGTGTGTGTGTCTGTGTGGTACATGGAGAATTGTACTGAATGATAAAGAGTAAGGGCTTGTGTGCGAGGAGGGGGGGGGGGGGGGGTGCATACGTTTTGGCCTCCAAAGTCTTTCATGGACTCCATGTTGACGTTATGGAGTCACCGGATTGCCCTCCCGTCGAAACCAAACCTGCGCTATGCGTACCCTTTCGCACCGCTCTGCTTCCCTTCACACCCTCCCTCCAAGGTACAGTATCCTGATCCCACGAGTCACATGATAGGAGCCTATCGGTATTCGTACTGAGTTTTGCATAAACCTGTACTTTATTAACCTCTGTTTAGCCTTTCTTCAGCTATGTTTCTTCACTTCAAGCTCAGGCTAATGTCCAAACTGACCTTGCTAGGCCGTGGAAGCCTGATCCATGCAACTGATTGTATGCTACAGGCAAGGAGCAGTGAAGGAGGGCTATGGTGCCAATGGCAAGCAGCACCAGTAGGAACCAGCGCCATTGGACAGAAGACTGCTCTCAGACAAAGCCACAGATTATACAATATACACAATATTGTAATACTAACAGGGCGCAGAATGTGATCATCATAGTCCCGGCACCGTGTTAACTGAGAAAATACAGCAGGGGAAGCCCAAAGCTAGCTCTGAGCAATAAACAAAAAACGAACACTACTACCATTTTGAAAGGATTGGGAGAACTACAAATTCAAACTACTACAATTATTATTAGTATTATGTAGTAAAGTGAAACCTGTCTAGGATGACCGCTCAAGGGACCTTCGAAACGTGTTCGTTGTGTACAGGTGGTCTTCTTATCCAGAGCAGTTCGACTGCAGGTAGCACCTCTTGGTCCTGGTTACAGTGGTCTCCTGGGACAGGTGGTCGCCTTATCCGAGTGGTCACCTTCACAGGTTTTACTGTACCTGAAATCGCCAGGCCCGCAGGCATTGGCCATTGGCTTACAGAATTTGTTGATATCCATGGTATATCTGGTTTGCTGGCATTTGGCACGCGTACACTCTTCTGCTGCACCTACTGAGTGAGGGGGAGGGAGGTCCTGTGAAGCGTTGATGTGCTAACATGGTCATTGACAGACAGTGATTATAAAAAGTTAATGTAGGTCTACTACATGTACACTCAGTACAGTCATGTAGTTGTGTCTGTTGAGCTGACAATGCATACCTCCATAGCCGTTGCTGCTAAATTCCTAGTCATGCAGTATCAGCTATACAAGGTCATGTAGATCATAACCACAGTTCGTAGTAAGCAGGGAAACAATAGATAATGGTAATGGTTATGAGTAAACATGAGTAGGCTTTCCACCTAAGTCAGTGTCTATTGTCGTCACCGGCAACACAGTGCTTCATAGTCACGGATAGCTGCGCAAACCCTATCAGACCCTGGAGACGTCATTAATTTTAGTCTCGTTCAGTAACAAAATGTCCTCTCTTCCTAGCTCTCAGGGACTCTCGCTCTCAACGTCAATCTGAGTCTCTAGCTATTCTCGTCCTCCTCTTCTTCTTCTTCTTCTTCGCACCTTTGCCTTTTTTCTGGTCTGGTGTCAAGGTGGAGACGTGAGAAAATTCCGCCGGAAGGACATGCTAATTATCATCGCACTGGTGGAAGGCATCCACCACATTTCGTCTTTAGTGTCATCGCCATACAGTGTTCTTGCATGCAGACTATCAACTAACTTGCAGTTAACACCGTGCGAACCACCATGGAGATATCTCAAATCTCCCCATACAAATGCTGGCATCAAGATACAAACGCGCCACTGAGTTTGCGCCAATTGCATTGTGCTACGGTTGAACACGTTTCCCCTTCTCGTTCAGGATGGAGCTGGAACAACGCCTGTGGTGTCATGTCTCTTCTGCCTGTTCGCCTAAAGCCACCGCAATCGCCTTCTCAGCGCCGATGTTGGTCGTGTACCAATTGCTGCTTCTGGCAGTGTTCCAACCTGATCATGTCTCTTCTCATCGGGAAACCCACCGGGCTATAGTCAGTCATATCGCCGTAACAGAAGGTAAATAGCACATTTCACTGATGTACACGGTGATGGGTATGAGTGTAATTAATTAATGGTATTGCAGGTATATCAGAAGCTGTGGTTGTCATGTACTTCCTAAAAGCGTGGAAAAGTAAAACCTTTTTTTAAAGTGTCGCCTTCGGTAGCCGAAGGGGCCTTTCAAACTGGAATCTATTTTTTATTATGTATGATAAGGTCATAAATTCGTAACCCTTGATTCCTCCTGTCCAATATCTGTCACTACTTTAGCCTAAGGTTGCGGTTACTGTTGAACCTAGCCAAAAGAATGGATTACATACATGTACATTGTACATGTATACTATACAGAAGTTTGAGATCTACATGACATTGTATTTCAACACCAGTCATGACACGTGCACAGGCTAAATGAAGCGTGCACTACGAGGAAACTGCGGCTGATCGAGACTTGTCTTGAGTGCTAGAGAAGAGAGACCAATGGGCAGAGCATGCAATGAGCCAGGAGAGTGGAAATCACAGGACAAACGTTTCCATCAGCTCCTCGATCTCGGTAGCATCAAGAGAGCAAACATCAGATTTGAGCAAGTACGAAAGAAGCTAAACTAGTCACGAACACAATTGCAACTGTAAATCTTTTAATCTGCAAGCGTGCATGGTTATAATTATTATTGATCAGTCCTTTGCATGATGAAATCGTAGAAAAACATTGATACTTTACTGGAGCAATTCTATAGTCTTGCATTCGTACCCTCCCACCTACAGTATAGAATGTGGACTGGCAGATGGTCTGTCCGACGGTGAAGTTGAGGATTTCCGCAACTATCATTATGCAGGGACGGCGGTGTGTACCAGTAGCCGACCCGTGGCCAACCCACAAGTCCCGCCCGCCGGCCAATTCAGGTCATTCACAGGAACGTTCGTCTTGACTCATCCAGGGCCCCCGCAGGTCCATGTACAGTGTTGCTGCACATGAGTCCGTCATGACGTCATGCCTAGTAGTACCGGTAGCCAGTCTACTCTTACGGTGATCTATGAGTCTGACGCTCCTTCCTCACCGGCCGCCTTTGAAGACCATCACGAATAAATGTCGAGAGGAACCAGAGGCGGCGCTCCATCACGGGTATTGTACTCCTGATGGAGGCACAAGTCACCGACAATATTCAGGACAGCACCTCCAGTGACCAACACTGGATCACATGCAGACACTAGCCGGATGGTCGAAACAAACATTGTACATGTGCTAAAAAGTAGGAGGTGTGTGTGTGTGTGGGGGGGGGGGTGAAAGACAAGCCTGAAAGATAGCAAGCTAGTTATGGCTGAAAGAGGAAATACTCAGTTTGTTAGTCCAGGAAGGAATTCTGTGGATGATGTCACGGATGATGTCATTCGTCTTTTCAAACACGCACCAAGGGCTTTTTATAGTCGCGGTGTGGGTGTTCCGGTGGGCACAACTAGCTCAATCGTTCCATTACCGTGGCAAATGCCTTCCTCAGGCGTTATGGTTTTCAAAACCTTCACACCATGAGTTGCAGGCATTGGTAGTTTCTAACTGGCTGAGTACATGTGGGATTGTACATGTGTGATTGTACATGATCAGTGTAACTTCGGTGAGCTTCTTCAGTTTGTCCGTAACTAGGGGTAAGTGGATTATGCCGGCATAATTTTTGGCATACTCGGGTCCTTTTTGAGAATGAGCATAAAATGGCATCTGAAAACAAGGGCAAATGCCCAATGAGGCTGTTATACACACCTCAGTGCTATTGAAGGCACATTTTTGGCATAATCAGGTCCTTTTTGAGAAGGAGCATAAAATGGCATCCGAAAAACAATCGCAGATGCCCAATGAGGCTGTAAAATACACACCTGCTAATGAAGAACTATACAATAGCGCGTCTTGTCGATTTGGAATAATATGTGTATGTGCTTTAGCAGATTGCCAGGGTGACAAGTTGAGGATAGACTGTCCTAGTAATTACGGGTACTAGTACATGTACTGTCTTTGAAATAATTGGGCTCTGCATCTGATGCTAGTCTGGTATCTCTTCTGGAGAGAGGGAGTCAAGTTCAATGCTTTCTTGCAACAGGTTGTGTTGGTACATGTACTAGCCGGAGGACTCTCATTTGTACAATGTACTGTATAATTATTATACTCCAGCTATCGCTCGCTTCATACTTCGAAGTGCCAATGAACACTATGGCAGCAGCAGCATTTTACGATTCAACTGCCGCACCTTGGATTGGCTGTAGTGGAGCCGGCAATGCCGCATATCCTTCCCGCTCCTGCTAGAACATCAGAGACTTTAGTGACATGGTACATGTTCCTGTAGGCCGGAGCGCACCTGTTGAACAGTCAGTACGGCAGTGTTGTTAGCTTACAACACAATGTACAATGTACTTCAAGTAATCCCGTTACTAGTGTTGGAACATGGCGCACCTGCTCCGGCAGAAATAGGCTGCCTTTTTTGCAAATGGTCTTGGATACCACTGAACATACCTGTACTGATCGACTGTAGCCACACCACCGCACCACCACAAGACCCTCTCTTTTTCACTGAATCTCCGGCGACCTTCGTCTGAAACTTGACTCTGACCTTTGCTGTATTGGCGTGCGTGTGCTGGTTAAAAGTATCGTAATCTTGCCTGCTGTGACACACACGCATATACCCGCGCGCACACACACACACACACACACACACGCAGGCACACACACACACACGCAGGCACACACACACGCGCGCGCATGGACATGAGCAACTGCTGAATAATACTACATAACTGTAGTTCAATGTTTACAGTGCGCTAGTGCGCTCTGAACTCCGCGGGAAGTGGAAGGAAGCTAAGTCAGTGTTGCTCGATCCGTTTGCTACAGAGCAACCTGGTTTGGGATAGGTCCCTTCGCTCCCCAGCGCACCCGCACGACTACTCCACAGGACGTGAATCACTGTACGCCCTCGAGGGCATTCCGGAGAGCTTCCTCCCATGCCACCTTCTGCAGTCGTTCCGAACGGTTGGCCACCTCTGCCAGTTCATCGCCTACCGTTGCCCATGTTTGGCCGCCCCCTAATAATAATAATAATATCTTTATTAGGATGACCCAGAGGCTTGTCGCCTATCAAGGGGTTCACCGCTTTGAAGGATGTACATGTAGCCGTGTGATGGTAGATTCTCTGCGTGCCTGAAATACCGCCAGTTGGCAGAGTATCAAGTTAGTTCTCTCAACAGGCGTCAACACTCAACATGCAGATCGTATCTCTCTCAGCGGCCTCCGGGAGCTATGGTTAACGGTTGGGTCACTGCTTCAGTATTCGCTGTAGAATTTTTCATTTCGTACGGTTACGATCATGCATGTGTTAGCGTGGCTCTTTCAATCGTTGTGCCTTGTAGGCCTCGACCAAATATGCTTGCGCATATTTCCGCATATTTTGTGAGACAGTTCATATTATGGCATATTGAGCGACAAAAGGAATATTGGAATGAAGCCAGCATATAATTCAAATATTCTGAAGAAAATGAGGACAACACATTCAAAATATGGACAAAATGCGTTCAGAAATGCCTTTTATGGATGAATTTGGAATTGTTGAGGCGTTTGCTACATTTCCACATGGATGAACACTATCGCTACGGTTGCTGGGGACACCCCAGTCATACTATTCCGCATGTGTTTTGATTTGCACCATAAGCATGATAGCCGTGAAGCCAATGAATATTCCAAGGTTGTAATTTTACTGAAAATGATCTACACTTTCTGCTTATGTCGACTCTTTGTCGAGCATATTTTGGCATATGTTGGCATATCTTTTTGCATATCTTGCTAAGCCTTTGGCATATTATGGACGTTTTCCCTGATATGCCACGAGACATAATATGCTCTTTTTTTAGCATATTTGGTCGAGGCCCAGTGCCTTGTCACGTTGTGGCCAACTCCAGGGTGCGTTCGGATGAACATTCTGCCACACTTGCGGTGGTGGAAGCGGCGTGTAGACTGCATGCAGTATAGGCCTCGACCAAATATGCTAAAAAAAAGAGCATATTATGCTCGTCGCATATCAGGGAAAACGTCCATAATATGCCAAAGGCTTGGCAAGATATGCAAACATATGCTCGACATAAGCAGAAAATGTAGATCATTTCGGTAAAATTACAACCTTGGAATATTCGTTGGCTTCACGGCTATCATGCTTATGGTGCAAATCAAAACACATGCGGAATAGTATTGCTGGGGTGTGTCCCCAGCAACCGTAGCGATAGTGTTCATCCATGTGGAAATGTAGCAAACGCCTCAACCATTCCAAAATTCATCCATAAAAGGCATTTCTGAACGCATTTTGTCCATAATATGAATGTTTTGTCCTCATTTTCTTCAGAATATTTGAATTATATGCTGGCTTCATTCCAATATTCCCTTTGTCGCTCAATATGCCATATATGAACTGTCTCACAAAATATGCGGAAATATGCGCAAGCAATTTGGTCGAGGCCTAATGCAGTAACATGGTAACTGCTGTTGTTGTTGTTCTGCTTTTCTCATCCCACATGATTGTGTACGTTAGCAGTTTGGGGCGGCTCTGAAAAGGTTCATTGTTGTCTAAATGAGTTTTACCTACTATCCGGACTTGCATATTTTCTGCAGTTTTATGTCATTCATATTATTCTATCCGCCTCAGAAAAGACGTTCGTCATTATTAGACAATGTTGTCCCCCAGACCCCTGTACAAGACAACCCGCTATAGACAATATTTCGATCGGTCCCACTATAATGTAAGTATACAATTAAGACAACATGAAACATCGATCGAGCTAGCCAGAAAGTAAACAAATCCAGAGAAATCGCCAAGTAAGTAGTTCCTGACAGGCAGTGACAGCGAACACATTGAGCCAATCCGAGCAAATTCGCAGTCCATGGCCATGTGCTTTGTCTTGTAACGAGAGCCTTACCTAGCCTAGGCCAGGAATCGAACCCGCTGTGGGACAGCCGAAGGTGACGTTATAACGAATTTTGTCTACAAATTCGTCAGGGGTTTTGGATTGTTGCCTACTAATGAGGTTTGTCTTGTCACGTGAACTGATATCGTACTAACGAGGGTAGACCTCTACGTGTAGTAGAATGATGATGTTTACCGGTGATTTATTTTGTCAACGCTTGGGCACGAGAGCGAGAGTGCTCGGCATCGCTGTGCGTAGTTTGAAGAACGAAGGAGGAGGAAGAAAACCATGGCCGGCTGGAAAGATTGTCGAAATACAATCAGTAACAATGTAGTTTGGAGTGGGAATGTGGTGGGAGTTGAGGCAACCAGGTATCTTTGTTGTCACCCAGGATTCTGGACACATGGTGAATTGTCATGCCGGATGGTGCGACGTGAGATTCGTTGGCTGGGTATGAAACGCTCTACGTAGATCTACCTGTACGTCGAGCTGGCGGTCAAACCCGGGGACTAGACTTCTAGCGAGCTTTACGACACTCGCGGAAGCAAGACCAGCAGCTGTTCTGCAGCCATGACCCAGGCAGGGTGACGACCACGGAGTTAGAGACATAAAAAGAGAGAGAGGTAGAGGATTCCGGGGAGACCATTACTTCTGCATGGAGGATAGCCCGCACATGGTCGCCATGTTGTCCATGTGAGAACAGCTGCCCACCAGCAGCAGCAGCTGCGATGCAGCGATGCAGCAATGTATCTCTTGCTGCCACCCGTTCCTCATCGACACCGACGAACGACATTTGTCAGTCACGTTTTCTTGCACTCGTACTGGCGGAGGAGAGCCTCTGATCTGAAGTTTGTGGCTCGCGTATGCTGTTGCAGATTCTTCTGCTTTGGCGTAGTTTGACGTAGATCTACCCCGGAGAAGTAGCTCGCTGCACTGCCCGCGCTCTATGTGCTTCCTTCTCTTGCCGACTCTGCGGACACGCTTGTTTGAGTGTCACGTTCAGGGATGACCGGATATCCCACGTCTGGCGTTGCGGGTGCAGTGTGTGTGTGTTTCATCAGCAATGACGTGTTAGCATTCACAGTCGGTGTGTCTACTACCCACGCCAACCAGTGTGGCACCTGATAGCGATTAGCAGCCTCACTGCAAGAATGGCCTGAAAAGGCTCAGCAGTAGTAGTAGTTATAGTGTTGTCCGGCACCTGGAGATCAGAAGACACCAGGCTTCGACTGTACTTTCCTTGTACTAGTAGTAGAGCATCAACAGAACCTGCGTTTGGCGTGTGCCACAGCCTCACAAGTAAGGAAGAGAAAACCCCTGCTGATCAGTTCAGTGGGTTCTTCAACTTTCAAGTTGCTGCTATCCAAAGCGGTTCAGAGCTGTTGATGTGCAGCAGGTGCTGTGCATGTGTGCTCATACTGAGCTATACTGAGCGGTGTTCGAGCAGCAGGAGGGAGTGACTGAGAAGATTGAAAATTGTGCCTTGGTGTGGCTGAGTGCAGAAGTCAGTAGTCAGTGAAGAAAGCCTGAACATGTTGTTCCGTGATTGAGGTGTCCATGCCTGCTACAGCGGGGGCACTAGTGTCGCTGCTGCACTCATGGCGTCCTTGGCGTTGGAGACTACCATCCAGGCTGGTGGCCAGCTGGTGTTGGCTACTAGAGACAAGCGACGACGACTACGGACTGACTACTGCACTGGCTACTGCACGGCCAGTGCCCATCAAGATGCGGTGCAGTATGATTCCATTGCCCCCAGTGGAGGCAGAGCCTTGGCCGCCACTCCAGGCCAAACAGCCAACAGTAGCAGCAATGGACTGGCAATGCCTGCTCGGAACAGCAGGAGTAACAGCAGCATGTCGAACGAAAGAGATCGACCTGAAGGCAGTGCAGCAGGAATGGGAGCAGTAGCAGCAGCATTTGCCTCACCATCATCCAGCCCTTCAGATGATGGGTTGTTAAGGTCGGCTGTGGCAAGAATGCAGACTTACATGATCGAGATTCCTAGCAAAGTGTACGAGGCATACAACTGGAGTCTGGAGACAGGGGAGGGACATGAGGAGGCAGATGGAGGTGTGCAAACTGCCGGGGCACAGGAGTCCGGCACATACAGCACAGTCGGATCATCACGGAACAGAAGTGATTCAGACTTGCACTGGGCATCATCATCATCACACGCGTATGGCGATGACGGAGCAGATGGTTCTTCCGATACCAGCAGTCAGCACACGGATCAAGGGCATGCATGCAGCAGCAGAGCAACATCGCCAGCACAAGCGAGACTGAGTTCTGACAGAGTGTTCCCTGCTCTGATGCCCGGCGGTGCTCACAGCAATTGGCTAACTCATGCCTGTAACCAGAGTCGGGAAGACAGCAGCGTTTGTCCCAGGGAGGCAGAGAGCCATGCTGCCGCTGGAGGAGCACCACCAGCAGCAGCAGCAGCAGCAGCAGCAGAGGGAGTCAATAAACCGTATGATGTACCCGGCCTGCAGGGAAAGTATGCGGGTCACTGCTGTAGGATGCGGCGCTCTGGAAAGATAGTGCTAGCACTATGCGCTGTGATAGTGTGTGCATCGC